GGCAAGTGATTGTTTTTACTTAGAGGCACGAAAATTGTTTAATAATGAGTTTACGTTCAATTCATTCGCCAAAGTCCCGTTGTACAGAAAACGTGCCATGTCGATCATATATTAAAATCAGTCACTGTGAAATGTCGTCCGACTAATAGTGTTCGATGTTTTTGTATACGTTTTACGAATTAATCGAATATTCATTTTCTTTTTTTGAATCACTTGTGGTTTTGTTTATTGTTTTATTAATTTAGGACGACCAACTCGCACTGGCAAAAAAATTAATTTAACAATAATTAAACGTTTGTTAAAATGTATAGTTTTATTAAAAAGTTTGACCTTTATTAATTAAAACTGAACATCTTAACAAGCGTTTATTGTATGTTTAACCAAAGTCAAATTTGATTTTTTTACAAGTCTCGACTTTTTGTGTAGAATCTTTCTTATAAAGATATTTTTTAATAGTGTGAGACAAAACTCTAGATATATTCTAGTTTTTCGAAGAATTTGTTCAAAAAATTATGCTCGTTACAAAAAATTCCAAAAAAAACATCATATATATGTCGAAGAATAATTGTTTTTTTTTTTTTGGCGTGAGAAATATTTTGCCAGAACCTAATCCACAAATGATATTATTTATTGCATGCATTTTTGTACAATCATGCTTAAAATGAGCACGACTTTTTGTCCATATTAATATTGATGTATCTAGGTTCGAATTGTTGAATCAAAATTTTATATGGTTCAGGCGTAGGCTCAGTTACACATATTACATAAATTTGTGTCCATCATTAAGATTCTAATTCCCAATTGGTGATTAATCGAATTAGAATAATTTTTTTTGGTTGTGATCAGTGTATTAGTAAAAGTTTAATGTGTGGTGTAACATCATATATTGTAATTTTTTGCAGATGATTTCTAAATTTGTATATAGAAATTTTGGAGATCAGGAAAGTAAAGTCGTCAGCTGATAGCCTCACTTAATATTAGGGATGGTATCGGTTTAAAATGAACCCGAAGTTGATATTTTGCTTTTGCCGATAAAATGATTAATGCATATTAATATGCATAAATCCCCGCATTTTTAATGTTGAAACTTAAAAATTTCCCAATTTCCATCAAGAGAAAACAAATATATTGATATTAATCCAAATTCTCATAACGTTTTGTTATATTAACCATGAATTACCTTGCTTTTTAGTGGCAGCTTCTTTATATTATAATTTTATATGTATGTTTTGAAGATGATAAACAATTCGTTTTTGTTGATGACGATAATATTGGACAGTATTGGAGAAAAAATAAATATTTTGTTGTTGTTGTTTTGTCGTGTAAATTATTAGTAGAAGAAGCTGCATTTTGAATTGGATAAGCGCTCATCATTATTAATAGCATAAATTGAAAAATGGTTTTTATTTTTTTTTGGAAATTGTTTCTAAATTTGTCAACGGAAACAGGGAAAACAAATTTGATATTCCCAATAGTTTGATCATGTAACAAAAGACAGTGAAACAGGAACAAGATGACGATTTAGGGAATCAAAATTTTATTATTGAATGTATACTTGTGAACCAAAAGAAAATTTCGGATGACCGTCTTAAAGGATAGTTTATTTAATTCAAAAAATATTTATAATGATTTCATACAAGGTAAATCAATCAAGTGCCATAGAAACTATATATACTACACAACTATAACAAATATAGAAAAATGACGGACACTCACTTGATAATAAAAATACTTTATTGTATAACGTATTCACATTTGGTGGTACTTTTTTTTCTTTTGCAAACAAACAGTTTGATCAATTTATTAATGAGTACTAAGCTTTTTTGTCCTACCGCGATGATTTAATTCTACGCTTATATAATATTAGTTATTGTTATATAATAAACTAACGTGCTTAAGTTATCAGTATTAATATAAATATATATATTGAAATGATATTATTATTTTTCAATTTTTCTACCTTAGGTTGTTTTTTCCTAATTCATTCTTTATATCATTTAAGTGACAATGGGAGCAAAACTTTCATCATCAAAAAAAAGAAAAAGTAAAGTGATCACTAATTCAAATCAGCAATCATCATCAGAAGCAACAATATCTTATAATGGGGATCGTAAATATTTAGTTCACACAGAAAAAGTCACTGACATTCTTCCAGCTGATGATGATGAAATTGCAAGAACAAACACAATTCATTTCTTGCACAAAAAATATATGGATGATACTAATTTTTCAGCACCAATTACAAAACAATTGGAGAAGGGAGATGGTTTTAATGTGCTGGATGTTGGGTGAGTTTAAATAAATTTTTATTATTTTTATGTAATTAATTAATTAATCGAATCATTATTAATTAGTGTTTTTTTATTTCAAAGTTGTGGAAGTGGCGCATGGACATTAGATATGGCTACAACATACCCAAATGCTAATTTTTTGGCTGTTGATATTATTCAAACATTTCCAAATGAAATTAGACCTAATAATGTAAATTTTTTACTGGGAAATATAATCACTGGATTAAATATTGAATCAAACACATTTGATTATGTGTTTATGAGATATATGAAATCTTCTATACCAATAAATGATTGGTCAAAAGCTATAGGTGAAATGATAAGGGTGGCAAAACCAAATGGATGGTTGGAATTAATAGAAACGGATGATAGCTTTACAGATGGATCTCCTGAATGCTTGGAGCTTATGGATAAAGGTATTTTTCATTTTTATAAATATATCCATAATGAATCTTAACTTAATTTAATTTATGAAAAATTTTTTTTTCCCAGTTGAAAAAAAATTAAAAAATAACTATGGCCTAACCACCAAACCTTTTGAAGTTATAAAAAATATCTTGCTAAATGAGCATTTTGACATCATAACTGATGTACAGTTTTTCAAAAAAAAAATACCAATGTCAGGACATTGGGATAATGATCTAGACAATAAAATTGCTAAAGTTTTCTATGATATTGCGTTTTGGGGAAGTAAAAGTTATAAACATTCACTTGATTGTTTGGATTTAACTCCTGATGAATATGATAAATATGTTGAAAAGGCCTTTGAAAGTGTTAAAGATCGTAGATGCACATGTTCAATTTATAGATCAATTGCAAGAAAAATTTAAAATAAAAATAATTATGCAACTATAATTTATTAATATTAATATTTTTATGCGACTGTAAATTTTCAATAATAATAAATATGATTTTACATTTTATGTTGAAAACCAAGAATGGTTGTTAAAATAGTTGTTACCATTTTAAATTCATACTAATACTAATAAAATAATTAGCTCACGGAAAATATCTCAAACAATGGAGAAGTAAATATTCTAGCTAGCTATAACAACTATACATGTCAAACTATTGACTCGCCAAAAAAAAGATTTTTTTATTATGCATATTTATTATATTAATATACATTTATTTATATAGTTTACTGTATCTATTTATAAATTATTTATTTTTAATAAAAATCTGTTTTTTTTTCAGTATATTAAAAAGGTGGTGGTGATTGTTGGCCACTTGTTACTCGCTACTCTAGTTATTATTTAATAAGAAAAAAATTATTATTATTTTTATTGCATTATTTTAATAAAATAAATAGAATATCAGGAGCAATTAACAATTAACACAGTATTGCTATTGTTAGAATAAACTTCAAACATTTCTCTTTGCCATATAGAATTAACAATACAAATTATTATACTGATTTGTTGTATATATATATATATATACATATCATAAAAAAATTACACATTTTTTAATTATTTTTTTTGCTTTTTTTCGGTGAAGGTGTTGTCTGGACAATCTCTCTATATTCTCTCTTCAACACTTGTACTATATCATTATTACATTCAACAACTTCTTTTTTTGTAACTTCCTCTTTCACAGTTAACTGTAACATGATAATTAAGAATGATCAAATTATATACTCAATCAGAATATATATAAAAGATAAACAAAACTTACAATAAATTCTAGTAGTCTTAACTTCTGCTTTCATGGTATGAATTTGGTTATAATTAGATGGAATTGTGAGAGATCCAAATTCTTCATACACATATACCCCATCCTTCCACATCAGTACCATCTTTATTTCAAATAAATATCCTAATATACCAAATACAACACAATCATTGTAGTTGATATTTCGAACTTCCATTCTATGTAAAGTACAGATGTTTAAACAATCTTGAAGTTCTCAGTACAACTTGAAGGAACCTGTAGCTAATTTCATAAGATCTGGTTTTGTGGGTGGTCCTGCTTGTTCTCCAATAAATATTTCTTCTTCTCCTGTCTCCCAGGACCAGGTTAACAAATCAGCTGACTTATCATCAACTACAGTCTGTATTATACATGAAGTCGAAATTAAAACTTCAAAGTCAAAATGTTTCAACTTGAGGCAAAAATCAGTTTCGACCTTATTTTGACTCTATTTTGACCAGATCTGCAAATGGTCAAAATAGTTTCGACTTCATGTATAGTCTGTGTAGTATGGTCAAGTCCATAATTCTTTCTGTATTTGGATTATACATGCAGCCCAAAGTATTTTGACACTGTCATAAAGGGGGTTACACATGTAGTAAAGGGGTGTTACACTTATGTTTTTAATAGTGAATGCCGTAATTAATTTCTACTTTCTACCATCAAAATTTGACCATCAAAATCACCAAACCAATTTGGGCTGCATGTATAATTTGGATGCAAACACTGGAACCTCCATGCTGAAAAAAAGAGATATTAACTAACTCATGCAACCAAACATAATAGTAAATGTTCTTATCAAATTCAATACTTACATGCATCAATCAAGTCCTGCAAAACCCTCCAATGCTCTGGAAAAGAATCTATGGGTGAACTCAGACCAGTAATGGTGCTCACTGGTGTTTGTTGCAGTGATAAATGGAATAGGTTTAGTGAATGATTTAATTCTACAACACAAGATGAAAGGTTTAACATTAGTCAATAGAAGAAATCATCTTTCAAATAACCAATACTTACATAGGTGACATTACTTCATATGGATATTTTTTAATTTGTCTTGTTTCAGTATCTTCATCTTTTGTCATAATCAAATCATCGGTTAAATTACTCCAATCTATAAGTGATTTTTTTACTTCATTTTTAAAGTTCTATAAAATGTGATTAATATTTGTAAATGTTGCTTTGAAACCTAGTTATAATGGGTAAAAATAATAATCTTTTTCAATGCTTACCATATAATAATCATTTATAACCGATGCCCAACTTTTTGGTAAAACTGCTTGTTTTTTAGGTCTAACCAGGGTTGGGAAATTGACTGGTCCATTAAGAACAGATGGATTTTTGACTGGTCCATTGCCATTAATAAAATACAAAATATGGTTAAAGTATTACACTAATGGACTCAATGGACCACCAATAGACCATCAATGGACCACACATTGGCCAACCCTGGGTCTAACGGATCAGTTTAATAATTTGCGAAATCACTACCACCTCTTATATCCATTATATCATCTTTTGTACAGCTATGCAATGGAAATATTTAACATTCTACTCATGTGAAAGAAAAATCAAATTGGATAAGTTTAGATACTTACAAGTAAACAATATCTTTTTGTTTCTCATTAAATTCTTTAAAAATTGAGACAAATTCCTTGAAAAACTATTACTATTAATGAAAATAATTCACAGCATTTAACATATACAGTACCTGGACAAAAGTTTCGGAACACTTGTTTTTGTTAATTGCGCAAAAATGTACATAATAAACATATATGAAATTTATATCATTTGCGGTTTAGGTTCTTGTAAATATCTATGCAAAATCCCATGCATCTAGGTTCCGTAGAACTCGAATAAATATATAAAAATGAAATTCGATTAAAAAATTTTCTTTGACGATCACTAAATTTCTGATGCGAAATATTTTATTTTATTACTCAAATTCTATGTAATAATTTTAATTTAAAATTTTAACTACTTTTAATATTTAGTTGGGTATCCTTTGCTCTTTATACAAGCCTGAATTCTTCTAGGCATGCTTTCAATCAAATTCATTAAAACATTTTGAGGAATTTTATTCCATTCCTCTTTTAAAGCAGCCTCAAGTTCTTTAAGATTTCTTAGATTGTTAGGACGACTTCTAATACGATATACTGTTATGGTGGGAAGCCAAGTGTTTTAGAAATAATTCTATATGAGGCTCCACTTTATAAAGGCCAACTATTTGTCCGTGTTGAGCTTCAGTTAAATTAGACTTTTTTTTTTTGAAATTTAAAATTTTGAAAACTTTTTAGATCTTTTTTTAAAAAAAAAGATCTTAAAAAATATGTGATAAAAAATACTTTTTCAGAATCAGCAAAACTTGGATTTTCATATACAAAATTTCCAGAACATATAATTATGTAGGTTCTTGGACAATTTCTAAAAACATCATGTCAAAAATTTTTGATTGCCAATACTTAATCGAATTTCATTTTTATGTGTTTATTCGAGTTCTACGGAACCCAGACACACAAGGCTTTGCATAAATATTTACAAGGACCTAAACCGCAAATGATATAAATTTCATATATGTTTATTATGTACATTTTTGCGCAATTAACAAAAGCAAGTGTTCCAAAACTTTTGTCCAGGTACTGTAGATGAAGAACATGTCTTCATATTTTAATTAGTAATGTTTAAGGAATGTAAACAGTTGTTACCAGCTCTAGCCTCTTCTTCGATTCCGAAAGCCGAGTTGAATTTAGAATCGATTTTATTCGATTAATCAATTTTTCTTTGATGATTATTTAAAAATTGCCTCTCTAATTAAGTTATTGGATGTATATATAACTTTTTTTTAAATAATAAGTAATTGAATTTAAATATGTACCACTGTACCTCTTCCATTTATCTCTAATATTAAGACATAGATATTGAAAATCTTAAAATGAATGATTGAAAATAAACTTAAAAGGAACAAAGAGGAACGTTATATATAGATCATTGTTTAAATCTCACCATGTTTACAGAACTAAAAAAATTACTTCACGACTAAAATTTGGTATTTCATCATTATCACCATCATATCTTTATCACAACCATCACTATTATCAATTTTCTTACTAATTTGTTCATAATATCTTGCTTGATTTAGAATACTTTGATTTTGAAACATCACTTCTAATCAAACAAAAATCATACCACATATATAAATAATATTATTAAACCGACAATTGTCACTCATGGTTATAATAACCATTTCATCACCATCATTTTCTATTCAATAAATTGTATTGACAATATAAAATTATATATAACATATCATGTTTTAAATATCTTAGTCTCAAATGACTTGATCCTTGAAAAAAAGGTGGGTTCGTTCCCTTTTTCAAGAAATGATGGATATAATCAATTCCATTCATCTGTCTGAAGAGAATGCAATCTACTTATGGTAGAAAATAAAACCTTCTCTAGTTTTCCGTGGTTTGTCAGTAATGGACTTTGACAGAAATTCAAATTTGTTTCTTCATCTTCATCTTGCTAATTAAATAATACTGAAGGAAATTTTTTTTTTTAAATCAATTTAATTATGGATACCCACGTATATTCGAATAGAAATACTGGATGTTGATGATTAGTGATAGGTTCTTTATTTTTAAAAAAGTGTCAAATTAATCTTATCCGTTGTATAATTGCATAACACAATATAAAATTGAATCGTTACGAAAGACAAAAATAGAGAGTTTTACTTGTCATTTTATACGTGTTATTGGATCTTAGGTTTTAAAGGCTGGTAATAATTTTTGATTTCTTTTAGTTGGCTAGATTTAATTATAGCTTTAATATTAATAATAGCTGCATTGTTTTTAACAGGAAACGAACTGATAAAATCAACAAATGACAGCTAAAACCTTTGAAGTTTGATTCAATTCTCAGAATTTAAAAACCAAATCTTCATCTTTTTGTCCCAAAAAAAAGTTAATCTACACATCAACCTGGAGGCTCCAAACCCAATGTGATTCGGGGGCTATGGATTTTATTAATTTCAGGTACTTGAGAGAACTTGAAAAAGAGCAATTAGCCCCAAAAGATGGCTTTTTCGGTATTATTATAATGTGAATAAAGAACTCGAATAGTGTGATCCAGCAACTGCAACTTTTGCAACCATAGTTGCGTACGTATAAAGATGCAACATACGGAGACAAAAGTATTCATCCACATACAAGGAAAGGTAAATCATGTTTTTATTTATATAAATATAAAAATTATATATTTGTTTCTTTATCATGACAATTGATAAAAGTTTTTTATAGCGAGAGCAACAATACTTTCTTTACATGTAACTCATTCCATTCCACTTTGGTTTATCCATTGACTTTTTGGTATGTTGAAGCAAAAAAGGCCAAGAAAGAAAAATTCGTTTGGAAAAGTAAGAAATATTAAGATATTTGCAGTTTGTGAAAACGTGAATAATAATAAATAATATAAATAGTAATAGTAATAGTAATGGAGAGAGAAATTCCGATTTTTTTTACAACTATTGATTTTTCCATCAAAGTACATGGTATTGTATGTATAATTACTTATTTCCTTTTTAGTAGTTTTCTCTATGAAAATTTGATGCATATTAATATTAATATAATTCAATGTTCACTTCGTTTTTTGAACTCCTGAAAATTTCTAGTTGCGGTTTATCATTATTATTATTTAGAAATTTATAATGGTTGGGCATATTTAGAAATCAATTTAGCAATTTGCGGATATTTTTTGTGAATAATAAATAATAACAACTACATGGTAGCTGCACCTCATTGTTATTATTTTTTTTTCACCTTGAACTCCTTTACGTAAAATATTCGCCACTTTTAAACCTAATAAACCAACTAAATTCTCACTTTAAAACTAGGAAAGAAGTGTGTGAAAGTAATATAATCGTAACAATATATATATAACCTTTAAGAATATTACTTTTAAATTAATATAAAGTCACTTGGCGTAGTTTCAGAAACAAGGATTTTATAATTGCAAAAGGTATATATATATATATATATACACACACACACACATATGATATTGCAAAAAATAAATAATTAATTATTATGATTATATGAAAGGAAGAATGCAAGTTAATAATAATTTAATTTGTTGTATACTAGGTTTTTTTTTTTTTTTTTGAAAAAAAGAAATAAAAAAATGTCAGCCATACCATTTCCACGTCTTCAACCGGCACCTGAGAAAGGTCCGAAACAAATTCTCCCAGATTTAAACATTAGGCTGATTTGTCCTGATTGTAAAAACCCTGTACCAAACATTGTTGAAGAATTTGCAAATGGGGATCTAGTTTGTGGTGACTGTGGTCTGATATTAGGCGATCGTATTATTGATACTAGATCTGAATGGAGAACCTTTGCCAATGATGAAGGAGATGATCCATCTCGTGTTGGTGCAGCAGCAAATCCCCTTTTGGAAGGTTCACAATTAGATACAGTGATATCAAGAAGAGATGGTGGTAGTGGAACTGCAAGAGACCTAAACAGAGTTCATGGTCGTGCAAATGCTGTAAAAGGTGAAAAGAACCTTATTCAAGCTTACAAAGAAATTGCAGCAATGAGTGATGCAATGGATCTACCAAAAGTTATAGCTGATGTTGCTAAACAATTGTACAGACGTGCCGAAGAAGAGAAACTGTTGAGAGGAAAAAGCACAGAATCTATAATTGCGGCATGTATATTCATTGCTTGTCGTAAACAAAATGTACCACGTACTTTTAAAGAGATCCATGCAAAAACTCGTGTTCCAAAAAAAGACATTGGACGTTGTTTTAAAATCTTGACAGGTACGTTCGAAACTAATGTACCAACAATGGTATCTGAAGATTTGATGTCACGGTTCTGTTCAATGTTGCGTCTTAAAATGAAAACCGAAAAGGCTGCTCTTGAACTTACAACTAGAACAAAGGAGCTTGGTACTTTGGCAGGTAAATCTCCTGTCTCGGTAGCTGCAGCTTGCATCTATATGGCTTCATGTTTGTATCAACAACCAAAATCACCAAAAGATGTTGCTGAAGTAACTGGTGTCTCTGAAGCAACTATTAAAAATTCTTATAAATTGTTATGGGGAGATAGAGAAAAATTACTTGATGAAAAAAATTGTTTTGAAAATTTACCATCACCATAAAAAAATAAATTCTATTTTATTTTTCATACATTTATATAGATAAATTTTAAATTGTCTTTAGTTTAAAAAAAAAAAAAAAAAAATTTATAAAATACAAAAAATTATTATTGAAGGAAATATATACAATGAACATTATATAATTAATCATTAGTTGAAAAAAAAATTTTTTTTTTATAAAGAACATTTTGAATCTGATAATATTTTAAATAATATATTGTTATTGTATTACTATTATTATTATTATTATTATTAAAATAAAATAATAATAAAAACTAAAATAGAATAATTCTCTTTGGATTTTAATTGTGAATCTATTTATTTGAAAAAAAAAAAAAAATCTATAAAAAACAAAATTCTAATATTTTTATTTATTAATGTCTAATTATTACTATTATAAATAAATTTTATTGGTGGTGATTTGATTGAAATTCTCATCTTAAAGAATAAAATGAATGAATACATCGGCCGGTTTTACAGATATCTACTTAATGTTCTTACAATCAGCTCATTAATATCATACCTTGTTCGATCATGTTGAATATTATAACCTTCGTTATCCATTGATAATTTTGAAATTTTTTCTTTTTGCAAAATTATCCAATTTTCTTTTTCTTCGGGTATTAAATTCTCATAAAATGCCAAGGTTGAAACGACATCTTTTTTCAGAAACAATTGCGGTTCGCATGGATCAGAATTACGCCGTACATATGGCATACAAGGTATTAAGATTTCTGGGATTCTAGATTCATTGACCAAAACTTGTTGACTTATAGTTCTTTCCTTTAAGCAACTTTCACAACAATACATACGGAACTCCCAATACATTGTCAATTTAAATTTAGCGCCTTCGTTGCAGAATTGACACTTGTCCAACAACACCATCAGCCAAATATAATATTGTTCTGACATCCCTTCAGGTGGCGGTAGGGTTAAATCTTCAAAGAAACTTTGTCTTGATGTACGCCAGATACATTGTGTGGTAGAGGTAACTGACCATAAAAGAGTCCTATATTGTTTGCATGTCACTGATAAAGAATAAAGATCCCGTGGTGGAAGATTTGAAAAAATCTCCATCAGAATTTCTGTAGGTAGTGATAATGCCATTGTAAATATTTTTTGTTTCCCAATAAATCAATTTAGATTTACACCATAATAGGGAACAAGCAAAATTGTGACGTCTTATTCACGTGACACATATAATTAACCCAAATTTGTGTTTTGTTTAATTTATTTCTTTAAAAACCCACTACCACCACAATCAAACCCTTTCTTCTTCTGTTTCTCCTTTTTATTATTGTAATCAAAAAAAATTACTTGATCAAATAATATCACGTGTTTTGAATATATTGTTACTCCTTGAAATGAACACGATGGTGTTAAAACAATGCTGATTTCGTTAAAAAAAATTTTTTAATAGAACTTACACACACTCGTACATTTATTAATTTTGGAAAAAAACGTTGGAAAAATGAATAACAATTTAGAAAATAACAATTCTTTCAAAGAAAATGATAATTCTTCCGAGGAAAAAAATAAAATAAATACAGTTTCAAATTCAGCTTTAAATAATTCAGAATATCCGATTGATAATTTATCATCATCTGAGTTATTATTATTAGGGACAACAACTAATAATGAGGACGATGATGATAATAGTGATAATGTTGCTCATCCGGGTAATTGGATAAGTGGTGATGTCGGTGGAAGTGACAATGTAACAGCTATTGTCAATCACAACACTTTTAGATCAAACTTAAATCAATTACACAATTATGAAACAATAGTTAATGACGATGTAGATTCCATACTACATTATGAAGACATCAATGATGAAAAATTGTCAGAGATGTTTGAAGATTTTTTGGTAAGATTAATTTAATAAATTAATAAAAAACATTAATTTTTCTAAAAACGTAATAATTTCCTTTTAATAATAATTATAATTAATCGATTATTTGAATAAGGATGAATTAAATATACAAGATTCTTCCAGAGAAAAATTATTACAACTTTCAATGGATCGTAAAAAAACCATAATGCATCAAAATTGTCAATCACAATCAATCAATCAAAAACATCAAAATGTCAAAATTTCATCATCAAAAACTAAAACTGTACCTTCGCCATCATCTCTTCTATTACCACCGAATTCTTCTCAAGAGCATTTAAAGCAATCACCACAATTAAGAACATCTCCTGATGTCGAATCCAGTAACAATTCAAAACAAAGTCAAATATGTGATTCAGAAGTTGCATCTATCACCAGTGTATCAAGTGATAATAATAATAATAATAACAATAATAATGCTTTTTCATTGACTTATTGGCTTTATAGAAACAACAACAACCATGATAATGACAATAATAAAAATATTGCAACAAATGGTTCTTTGGAAGAAAGAAGCCAATCACCAATCAACAATACTACTACTACCACCACTAATAATAATAACAATAACAATAATTATAATAATTATCTTTCATATCTATTAGGATTTAGTAACAACAATAGTAATAGTAATTTATCAAAGCCTCAAGACTTGCCTGAATTTTATATTGAAAAATTATCACAAAGGTAATATTTATACTATATCGTATATAATTATACAAGTTACATGTATTTATCTAATTTTCTCTAAAAAATTTTTTCTCTACAAAAATTTCATAATTAGAACCATTTCGTCAAAATCCTTAACAGAACATCTATTATCTTTACGAATAGTGTTATCGTCTGCTAATTTTCCTTGGATTAAAGAATTTATTGACAAGAATGGATTAAAGGTTCTGGAATCTTTGCTTGAAAAATATTCTGCTTGCTATAAAAAGAAGTAAAGGATCACAACTATTTTATTTATATCATAATATTATTATTGTAAATTTTTTATATCCCATTTATTCTTCTTTTTCAGTGCTGTGACGAAGCATTCAGATCAAGATTATCAAATTCAATCGCAGTGTGTTCGTTGTATAAAGGCTTTAATGAATTCAAAAGTAAAAATTAATGAAAGAAACTTGAAATTTTTACTTCATTTCTATTTCTTACTAAAAATAAATTTTAATTAATTTAGATTGGTAGATGTAATGTTTTAAAATCACCTTCATTAATCTTGAATATTGTTTTTTGTCTATTATTTACACCGAACAACAAATTACGTACTCAAGTTGCTGAGATTCTTGCTGTATTGTGTGTATGGTCATTGGACGGACATAGATTGGTAGTTGAGTCATTCTCTGATTCTTGTGTGATCAATAAGGAAAAATATCGTTTTCAATGTTTTATGGACACTTTCAAAACAAAAGGTGATGCTGATGGCGAGGAGGAGGATAGTACATCGATCGAGTATAAGGTGGCTGGTTTGAGTTTAGTAAATGCTATTGTTAATAAACCAGATCAAATTGAAGAACGTATCTTGTTACGTGAAGAATTTGGAAGAAGAGGAATCTACAATTATTTTACAATTATCGAAAATTCTGACCCTCCTGATTCTCTGATAAATCAAATTGATGTCTATAGAGAAGAGAACAAAAAAGATTTGGCTGAATTGCACAACATGGCCCATGGAATAGTTGAAAATGCAAAGTATATTATCTGAAAAAAAAATTACATTTACATTTATATAAATTAATTAATATGTTAACAAAACTTGCAATAATATTATTGATTGACTAATAGTAATCCACCATATATGATCTATGAATTATTACGACAAACTGAAAACGATGAGAATTTGCACACCCGTATCATTGATTCTCTTGAAAACTTTTTGAAAATTATTTGCAGATTTTCAAATGAGTAAATATATTTATCTATATTAATCAATTATTGACATTAATATTTAAATAGTCCAAAATGCATGTTTAATTTTATAGGCAAGACAGAATCGAAGTATTAACTATTGTTGAAAAATTTATTGAAAAAATAAAAACTACAAATAATGTCAAAGAACGTATGTTTAATTTTTTTATTTCCAATTGTTTTATTTTGAATGCAGTATATTAATACTCAATCAACCGATCAATTAACTTATAGAATGGCAAAGTATCATGAATGATTATAATTCATCTATTCAGCACATAATAGGCAGAAAATATTCACTGGTCAGTGGAATGATAACCGATCAAGAAATTGATTCACTAAAAAAATCAATAAATAACTTGAACCTAAAGGTAATTGATTAATAATAATGTTAATTAATTAATAAACAACACAACATTAAATTTATTAAATTATTATTTTTTTTTTTTTAGATTAAACAACAATCAGGGATGGTTGATAAATTTAAATATACACAAAATTTTGATTCAAACGATGAAAATAACAACCTAGATAAAAAAAATACAATATTTTCCCTTCAGGCATCACATTCAACGCCTAATTTAACTGAAGCTCAACACGGACAAATAGTTGGCCTTTATAAAGTGGAGCCTCATATAGAATTATTTCTAAAACACTTGGCTTCCCACCATAACAGTATATCGTATTAGAAGTCGTCCTAACAATCTAAGAAATTTTAAAGAACTTGTATATTAATTGAATCATCATCATCATTTTCCAGAATTATACTGATACAGATCTGTTGGCTGAACCTCTCTAATTCCGGCAATAATTAAATAACCTTATGGGCGGAGTAACCTTGAATGGGAAGAATAGCCAGTTATGGGCGATATAACTCTTAGTGGGCAAAATAATCCTGAATGGGCATGTATATAAGAAACTTGAAATCGACATGCTCTAAAGATAACTTTTATAATAAGTTTTATAAGTTAGGGTAACTCAATTGGTTTCGATTAAATAAAATAAATAAATTCTTATCTCTTAAAACAAAATGAAAATTAATTCGTTAATAAACCTATTCATTCTGATCCACATAAACATATATAATATCTGTTATTACCAATACACTAATACGCTCCCAAAATTAATCGGTGACAAATAAATTAATGATTCAATTAAACTTCTTACATATAAATTTATTCAAATTTTCAACTTTTATTGTCCTTTTATTTATTTTATTAATTGAAATTAAGAATCTTTTTACAATCAAAGGTTATTATTATTACTATTTGGTAATTAATGATTTATACATTAAAAATCAAGATGTTGGGTGAATTGTCAATGGATAATTAATTATTCACATTAATATTTAGCCAAGAAAATAAAGTGCGTAGTGGAGTTATTTGTAGTAAAGGAGAGGTAAATAGAATGTTTTATTTACGAGTTAATTTTTCTATAATCTTTATGTGTTGAGGATATTGCTCTGAAAGATATCCAAATGTTGCCATTTCAAAATCTTTATAATTAAATCCCGGAGCTACACTACATCCAACTAAAGCAAAATTGTCATCACTTTGATCAGCAAGTTCGGCACCGAACCACGCATTTTTTTCAACAACAGAAAAAAATTTTTCTCCTTTATCTATATTATTGCCAAGGTTGTGGACAATAAGTTTTCCATCCGTTTTTATTTCATAAATTTTGACACTGGTATTGCCAGCATAATAATGCCAACCTTCATCAGACTTAATTCTATGAAGGGCAGAAAAATTGTTTCTATCAAGCAAAAAATATATTACTGTTGAACAACTTCTATTCCCATCAAACTTATTTGATAAACCAACTTTTTTAATCACTGATTTGTCTTGATAGATTTGCGAGTAATACCCTCCTTCTGGATGTGGTTCCAGGTGAAGTTTTTTAATAAAATACGAAGCAGAGGTTTGTGTTTGGTAATTAGTATCCTCCAAGCTATTATTATAACTTTGCATTTTTTATTTTTTAAATGAAAATAAATAATTCTCTATATTTATATAATAATTATTATTAGTAAACAATCAATTAATTACCAAGTTACATCATCGGAGAAATTATTAATAAACATTTAACCTAACTTAACCTAAATTGTGAAGAATAACGGATCACAAAATATTTTGAATAACATCACACCACAAAAATACAAACCAATCAATTTCAAACAATCTTTCACTTGGTGTTGAGGTCGTAGAAATTGGCGAGCAAGTTTTGCAAGAATGGAACATTTTGTTTTTTATTTTAAATTTCACCCAAAGATGTATTATAATTTAATAGATTTGGAAGTGTGCTACAATTCATTCATGGATCAGCACAAGCAATTAAAACGAGTCTATAGAGGTTCCGTATTCCGTAAAATGCTCTGTATGAAACAAAAATATGGAATCGAAGATCGTACAGACTGGCCCCCACCAATCAACTTTTTATTTTCAGAATTCACAAATTCCGTTCTGTACAAAATTAAAAAATATAATAATAATAATAAATAAAAAATGTACGGAGCAAAAAAAATATTGTATGGAATGAAGGTTGTACTGACTGATTAAACCAATTCCACACTTCCTTTGACTTATGTTTAGTCGTTTTTTTAGGAATTATATTAATGTTGATGGTAATTGGTGTTGTACACGGACATGTCTATATTAATATATAGTAACCGAAAACCTGATTCTTTAAAGTGGAGAACATGTTGGAATGCACTAGTTAAATTGATCTATGAAAGGCTGTGCTGCATAATAAAAATGTGACATGCGCATGAAAAAATATGCAATGTCCCATATTAATATTAATATATAATTCTATTCAAAAAAAATGCGAATTTTTAATTTTTACCAAGTTATTATTGAATTATATTATTGATAGTATTTTTAAGACCTCATTTTGTTAAACTAAGTAGAATTGATAATTCCAGCTCCTATTTCATCAGCTTGTTCTAAAAAGAATTGGTCCACTTTTTCTTTATACATAAAAAAAAATAAAAACAAATTGACATCTGAATGTGTTTAAATTGTATATATATTTATTTTATTACAAAATAAAATGTCCAAAAAATACCAACAATGATTACAATCGATGGTGATAAAAATGTGGGAGGCGAAAATGATAAAAATGATGAAGAAGGCGGTGGTAGTGATAATAATATTGAAAATGATATTTTTTTAAAAAAATGCAAATTTCACACAATTTCCCATCTATATGAAGACTAATCTGTCTGTTAACATTACTTTCCCAATGTAAAATTGAAAATTTTTATACAGCTTATCAAGAATATAAGTTTCTAAACTATTATTATGGATTTTTAATATTAATTTTACATAGTTAAATATAATAATTCAACTAATGATATAAAATAAAATTGTTATTTAAAAAATTATCTTAGAACATTATTATTAGGATAAAGATAAGGCATTAGGAACAAATTAAGAATTTCTGTATTGTTGAACTTGTTCTTCACTAGGTATTTCTATGACATCACTTGGAACTGATTTCTTTTTCTTTTGATATAATCTTATAATTATGAATGTTGCTATTGTTATCACTGTTATTCCACATGAAATTGATGATAGTATTACTAATGCTTGAACAATGTTTGGTGATGTTGATGTTGATGTTGATGTTTCTGATGTTTCTGTTTCTATTGATTTTGATGTTGGTGTTGATGTTGATGTTGATGTTGATGTTGATGTTGATGTTGATGTTGATGTTGATGTTGATGTTGATGTTGATGTTGCCAAATAACTTGTTTCCCAAGTAAAATCATTAATATCAAGTATATAAGTATTTGCACTCAATATAATTGAACTTGTAACAGATCCTATATATATAATTTTTTTATTTTTTGATTAATTAATTTTAGGTTTGAAAGATCATAAAAATATTATAAAAAATTTACCAAAACATATTATCATTTGATTTCCTATTAAATTAGCTGTATGACGTTTTAGAGGTGGAGCACGATTAACAGATGAAAAATCAGGTGATGACCATTGAAAGGGATTTCTGGTTGTATCCAGTACCAGAAGTTCAGGAAATGATGTGGTTGCTAGAGGATATCCACTACCACCATAAACAATTATCTTTCCATCCTTTGCTATTTATACAATTTTAGTATGATATTTTTTAAAAAATATTCAAAAAAAAAATTATATAAATTTAAAAGTTAATTACAGAGCACAGTTGAATGACCAACTCGAGGCTGAATAGATGGTGGACCACTTGCTGTCTAAATTTCATCCAAATGTAAGAAAAATAAATTAAATATTCATCAATAAAATTTAAACATCATACTTTAATTGATTAATATTTACCATAGTTAACCAAATTGAATTATTTGTATCAAAAATTTTTATCTATAAAATAAACATAACCATAAATATTTTACTTTTTTAAAAAACTATAATCAATATTCTCTATATGAATATATAAAAATAATGCATACTTTATAAATATCAACTAGAGTTCCCTCACCCTCTATTCCACCAATAATTACAATTCTACCATCAGGCAATAAAGTTGAAGTATGAGATGAAGTTGGTGATGGTGGATTATTAGAGAAAACTTGATGCCAAGTCAGATCTACTGTATTCAAAGTGTATATGTCATTAAGATATTGAACAGTAGAAGATCCAGTAGCTTCATCTGCTGCCCCACCAAAAATATACATTATCCCATTACTATCCACAACAACACTACTAGCTCTACGATTCATAGGAGTAACACCAGTTGTCTTTGGAGCATTCCAAACTTTTGTATTTACATCATATGCATAAAGCAAATTAGTAAAATCATTTTTTTTAGAAGTTGGGTTCCACATAACTCCACCAAATAAAAAAATAGTTGATTCATTTGATCCACCAACTGCTCCCACAGACCAAGAACTTCTTACAGGTATATTAGTGCCATCTACCCATGGTACATTTATAGCACTGAAATTACTAGTTAAATCCACATAAAATAATGAATCTGTTACACTTGCTATATCTTGACCTCCAAGAATATAAAGCTTATTATCTACCACTACACTAACAGCTGAATAACGTCTTGCACTAGAGTCAGAATGCACATTAGTAATAATAAATATTACAATAATTATAAATATTAAATACAATTTGCCATTTATGAAATTCAGACCCATGATTTTTTTATTCGTAAGGTTGCTGGTGGAACCTATTCAATGCGCATGAAAAAAAAAAATGTAATGTCCCATATTAATATATATATTAATATATAATAATAATTCTATTCAAAAAAAAATGCGAATTTTTAAGCTGTTATTGATTATATTATTGATATAGTGCAGGACACCTAGTCCCACAACTTTTTATTGGTCTTGTATATCCTTTAGTATAACAGGAGAGACCGTCCTATATAAGGAATGGATTTTCACAATTGATTACAATTTTTTTTATACAGTTTAAAATACATTTACAAGGGTATCATGTAGCCCATTCTTGCAACAAATTATGTGTAAATAATTACACAAACTTGAAGCTTTACATTTTGTTGTTATCATATCTTTTGAATCCCTTTGAATCCCACAACTTTCATAATACGATTTACTCGAAGAAAAATTGCCTGAAATTAAACATTGCACAGAATGTAAAACCACTGAATCAGCTAAATTTCATCA